AAAAAAAAGAAACAGCTCACAGATTTTCGATATGCTACAAGATAACGTGTGATATCATTCCGCCTGATACTGCATTTATTAAAAAAACGCAATTCAGAAAAAAGTCGTCTCCGACCTTCTCCTAAGCATCTGTCTAAAAGAGAAGCAGAATGAGTGATAGGTTGACAGCATTCACCAGCTCATACGCGCGCGTCGTTGTCGAGAACCGCTCGTGCAAGCACTGGCAGTAATATGGTCCGATTAACTATAGGTATTTCATCTTACACAAATAATAAACAAAGAGAGGATCACCCTCATAGGAGACGCATGTAGAAGATACGCAGTTGAAAGTGACAAATAATGACAAGACTAAAAAGCTTTGAGGAAGACAGTTAGAAAAACTCACAACCAAATCCTTTTCTTAAAGCAGAAGAAACTCGTTTTTGGACACTCGATGAACTAACTGATGACCTACTCAATCTACCTGACGGCGTAGTTACACCTTCAGTACTGGGAGGTTCTAGAACAAAAAAAAATCATCAATATAAGTGCCCGTCAAAAAATGAGTTTACCAATCGTGCTGACAGAAAGAGGTGTTGACCCATCGCGTTTCCTCGAACTGAATATTCGAGATTTGGAGCGGAGCGTTGACCACACAATGCTCTAAGCAAATATTATTTTAGCAAACTTTCATAACACAACAAGCACAGAGACATACACTTCTTCGACTTGATCCTTCTGCGACATGCACAGGTGTTGTTGACTCATTCACCTCGCTACAAGTAGCCAGAGGAGCAACCTGAACATTTGTAATTTTCCAAAATACGAGCGAATAAGATCATTAAAGATTGCACCTCTTCTTCAGGTAACTCCGCCATACTTGCACTCAACAGAAGTTTTTCTCTCAGTCTCACTGATCTATCACGTGTGAATCGTTGAGGGCTTGCAACGGTATCAGAAACTGACGAGAATGTGCGGCGTATAGCGCTGAATTGATACAAGTAACTTTAAACAGAACAAAGTAGCTTTCGAACAATAAAATTACCCTCAAAGCTATTCTAAACCTCAAGTCAGAGAATTCCTCACCTATTACACAACCCGCGTATGAGTTCAGATTCTGGAGGCATACTCCGAGCACTGCCCCGGTTAGATTTCCCACGTCTAAAATCTCTTGCTGGAGTGCAAAGAGAAGCCACACTGCCAATGTTAGAGGCGCTATCCTCAGAGACGGATTCCGAGGTGAACTGAATACATAGAATGGCGAGAAAAAAAAAGGATTCGGTGAAATCTGGTTTTTTGACAAATCACAATTTTCGTTCGTCATATGAAAATCCGCACAAACTTATATTAAAAAGGAAGAAATTGATGTTATTTGACACTTTTTCCCATTTCATCCTTTCTAAAAAAAACACACATATTTCAGTAATGATTACCTATGGCCTCCAGAAAATTGAGTAAATTTAAGATTAGTGCACAAAACACCGACGCAAAGATGAATGTAAGCAAAAAGGTTAGATAAGAGTAAGTAAGACTTCATGTACATAATCAAAGTCTGTATGAATGAGTAAATGGTGCAAAAGAAGCAAGCACTTGTGAAAAATCAGGAAAAACTCTACCGAAACGCCTTCGCCCCAGTTTTGTGCATCTTTAGGCAGCTCTCCCACGAGACGAACAAGGTCCTTGTTACGATGGAAAGAGGGAGGCAAAACGCAACTGTCTGCAGACAAAGCACTCTAAAGTCATCAGCTTGAGCAAGGACTCAACAGATTATCGAGAATTCTACTTTCAGTATTAGATTACTTACAGAATCACTTTTATAAGAGACCTGATCTTCTGGCATTGGATCCAGTGTTATATCTAGGGACGGATGTTTGAACACAGGCATTGCACTTGTGCTGGACGACATAGCACATATTGACATATCTCTGTTATTGCGATCCTAAGAATAAAGCACATCCATGAGACTTAAAGAGAAAGGCTAGACATAGGTGATCTACATTCACAGTTGTATACGGTTCAGGCAATGAGCTGTGAAATCATGAGAAAATTGTAGGTAGAATAAGAAGTACGGGTTGTTCATGCCACAACCTTTCGAAAGATTTTTTTATGAAATTCAGCTTCTGAGAATACAGAGTACAATTAGTATCAACATGATAGCAAAATCAACAAAGGAAGAATAAATAATTCCGCCAATAATTCGACTAATAATCAAGCAGTACAATCATTTATACTGAACAGAAGATTTAGAAGCCCATCCTTACTAGATGAGGCCCACAACCAACTATGGGTGTTTGCATCGCCCTTTAGAGGAGTTTTGAATTTTTGATCAATGAATGGCGGAAAGCACCTGTATTTCCAATGAAAGACTCTCACAACGTCTTTCAAAGTAGCCTCAGAAGGTATGGAATATAGAATTGAGATCCACTTCTTAAAGCGCATCTATTGATGCAGTGATAATTCTGAGCGTTCAATGTCACCTAACTTGTATTCGTAAAAGAGGTATTCCAACTTACTTTTAACGCCGAAGAGCTTCTCATTTTCTTCAATAGCCCTTTGCCTAGGCCGACAATACTTTTTCTCCTACTTTTTTCAGGAGCCTCCTTCACTCCAGAGCGAATCTATGAAGAAAGTTTTCAACAATTTTCAATCTGATTATTCGAAATGTGTAAAAGCTATATTTACCTCTTCGTCGTACCATGGACGATCCTTTTTGGGTGGATGCGTTGACGCCGACTCTATCTGAAGTTACGAGGTTATCAAAGCAAAGGTGGTTTGGAGTCGATTATAAAGATTACATGTACGTCCGATTTCCTCTTCTTCTGCGACTTCATCATTCCTAGCTAATTTAGTTGAACTTCGAGCGGTTTTGACTCTAAAGGTTGTGAGTGTGCGAAATCACCGGTAAGCCCGGAAGGATCCGAAGATCAATAGCCTAAAAATAGTGTAAGTGAACAGATTGATTTCATTGCAGATACAGAGGTCGTTTGAAAAAAAGTGTCTTAAAACACGATGAACACCAGGCTCAAACAAATGAAAGTTTTGAAAATCTAGGAAATGAATAATGAATATGCAGATAACTACGCAGCAAACTACTGAAGTATCAGAAAATGAGATTTATGAGGCGAAGGAATTTGAATACTTTGCCTTGGCACCGTCAGAATAGCGCGCGAAATTTAAGACAGTTGCGTTGGAGCAAGTCTCTAGATGTCAATTGATCCCCAACGATTAGAAACCTTAATTCAAAGAACTTTATGGAGAATTACATTCAGATTGCTTCTCTGCATGTATAGTTGTCACAACTTATGTGCTAAGAAATGCAATTGATGTTAGTTTATTATTATTTGTTAGTCGCCAATAAAAGCAAAACTACTTTACGGTTTTTTCTACTACTTGAATGTCTAGCAATCAAAAATTGTTATGCATATCAAATTTGTTCAAAAACAACGCAAATAAAGGAAACATATAAAAGTCAGATGAAACAGCAGAAAACACTGGTGAAGTGACCTAACATGCTGGCACTGAATGAGAAAGTGACGCCATTTGCAGCGTCTCTGCAATGAGGTCATCCAAACTCGGCTCTGGACCACGGTATTCTTTTACTCCAAATGCTCACCTGGCCGAGGTCCTCGGCGAAAAGGAGTGCTACAACTCATGATCAATTTTGAACTTCAGCTAGCCATCTATAATAATCAGGAAACATTTCCTATCCATATCCATAAAGTTTTTGAGTTAATTTCAAAGTTCGTCAGAAAAAATGCAAACTGAATTTGCAATCAAGATAAAATTAAACAATGTTTTGGTGTTCAAGTATGGTATCGAAAAACTTTAAGAAAGACTTTTTCCATATCAAAAACAAAATTTAAATCGCAACTTCGTGATTTTTTTCCCTGGTGTGACTTTGCATTCTCTGCTTCCTTTTGTAGCACATTGTTCCTCTACTTCTCGAAACATACTTAAAGTAAATCAAATCAAACTTAGATGGCTTGTAAAAAATGTCTTAGAAGCTCCACCGTCAAATTTGTACCATTTACACACCTTTAATAAGCTCCTGCTATAAGTTTAGTTAAATGGGATGTTTTAGGACGACCACAGAATCTTCCAGTACATAGGAGAGGTTGTATCCCACGTATGTCGCAGAAAAACATAAATCTAAGCAGCTCGCTAATCCATATGAGATAATGGTCTTAGCCTTCTCGAGCCTTCTTACTTTGTACCCATAATTTTTCCATTTAAACTGTGTAGACTGATTATGCAGGTTGATAATGCTGCAATAATTAGAAACATATGTGAAAAATTTCGTATCTACCTATCTGTGAAGAGTTCCGGAATTCAACTATAATGCGTATTAACTACAGACCAACAGTACTTTCGGTTTAGTTTATTTAGGTCAAAGATTGAAAAAATCAGATATGTTTTAAAAACCGGCTATGGATACTTGTTGTTTGCAGCATTACAGTATGATATAGCTACAAGAGTATTTAAGACTAAAAGAGTTATTGCGAATTTCAAAATATAACTGGTTCAAATCTTCCAAACTCTAGGAAAGACTATAGTTTTGGTTTTGAAAGGGAATATATAAATATAATGTAGTCGCTTTTATCGAATTCGCAATTGTGTAGCTGACCCTGGTGACCTGAAGACTTCTGAATAAAGTAAACGTAGAACTACGTTTAGCGCTTTTGTTAATGACACATGATCCAAGCCATATGCAACTTGCGTAAGTTTTCCGCGAACTAGAAGCAATTTTTATTTTTGAAGCATGACTTAAATTGTCTGTAAAGGTCTGGATTGCAGGGACGGCATCGTCTCTGAAAAGATAAGTTGTCCATGCTTCCATGTATTAGCTCTCTCCCTAAAGCAGTCAGGCGCCATTGGGGAACGTAATGCATCTTAAGCCTTAGGCCCTCGCTCCCATTGCCCTGCCGCTTGTTCTCAGATGATAAAAATAATTGTCATAATACCTCTTTAGGATGTAAAAAGACACGAGATTCAGAGAAAATAGAAATTGGAGCTTATTTTACGAGGTTCGGAAAATCTTGCAAAACACGAACAAAGTAATAGAATGAACTAGATAAAAGGAGGAGTGGTGCATATAGAGAGAGTAAACGTTGAATGGTGCGATTTTCGCTTATCACTTAGGGCACATCTGCATGGAACATATATTACATTGAGTTTTCCAAATGTACTTGTGTACTATCTTCCAATAAAGAAAGATCTGTCTCCTTTTTCTTCAGAATCATAACGAGATAGAACCGTTCAAAGATTCGAAGTTGCAGGGAAATTTTAAAGAAAATTGGGGAAGTTTTTTGTACCTTCAATAATATTCGTACAGGTTTTCGTATTGTGCATATACTACAGCTGATTTATTGTTGAGACGCTTTTCTTATTTTCATGAAAAGCTAGCTTGTTAAAATAGCTTTTTATTGCGTTCATAGCATGTAATATATGATAGTGGCAGCTCGAAAAATTTCGCCACCCGACCGCTTCCCGTTCGCTCCAGACGCCCACTCTGGGAGCGGGCAATCAGCGCAGCAATGGATGGAGCCAGAGGTTAGCGTTTGGGAGGCGTTATTCTACCCAAGGACGCTTCGTTTTGGGAAAGTGCGACGAAGTTTCGGGAATTTCTGGTACGTCACCGGCAGATTGTAGAAGCTATCTCTTTACTTCTTTCATAAAACTTTGTCTAAATTCGCCAGGCCAATCAGGTTAAGCATATTCTTTTCTACAAGCGTTCTAATTAGGGAAATAGTTAGGTTCAGTGTTATCATTAATTAGTATTAGGAATATCCGAAAATAGTAAAGCTACCTTCTCTGCCTCACAACACTCTTTCTGCCGTTCAAATTTCTTTTAGCAAGCAAGATGCTTTGGACAGCAAACATCCAAGGTTTTGACTTTTCTTCTCAGAGACAATGCCGCCATTTCGTCAGAGCTTCATGAGTACTTTGAAGATCTTGATTAAAATCCAAAAACTGCCCATACGAAGGGACAGCCTATTTTCACAGATGAATTTATTTTATATATTAACAGAACTGAAAAATCGAATATGTTGAGAGTATGAAAAAGAACTTGTATAAATACCAGAAGACAAGAAAAGAAGGGCGGTGGAAAACAAAAGTGCAGTCATGACAATCTAGATTTATGCATTCTTAAAGGGTGCTGAAGAAGACACGGCAGAAAGGGAATCGGGGATTAAGGCCTAGTATGGGTGCCTAAGAGCACTACAATTTGGTACCTTATAAGTTCTTTTTTTCAGTGTACGAATTAGGAATTATAGAGAACGGAAAAGAGATAAACTTAAAAGAGTTACTAAGAATCAAACACTGGGCAGATTTTTGAGACATCTATATGTATACTGTGTTTGATATATATCTTATGTCATTTTCATCAAACATATCCGGCAGGGACTATTTTCATTGGTTTTTTTCTAAAAGCTTTTCGCTGTAGCTTGCCGCTTTACTTCATGATTGTGGCAAAGAGCCAAATTCAAACTTTGCTTTATATTGATTATGGTGGTGATTACTCGCTTAATAGTGACTTGCGGTAGCGACAGAATGGAAAAGACTATTGATGCAAGAGTAAGCTACAAATCTACAGGTCCTCGGAAGAGCGATGGAAATTGGAGTGAAAGCGATTTATCCTAAAATGAAGTTTATAACGAATTGAATTCCAACAACTGCACTTTAAGTCAGACATTGTAAATGTTCTTAAATGTGAAATTCTTTAAATTCATGGTTTTTCTAAAATTTCTTTGTTGTTGATGAGTGACTGAGTGCTGATACTCAAGTTTGTTGTAAAGCGTGAAAACATTAATGTTTGAAGGTTTTCTTTATGCATTATTCACATAATATGGCTTGGTATTTGGAAAGCTTTGAGCGCAACTTAGCTCATTATTATCATCTGGATCGTGATTGGTTCTGATAGCACATATTTAGCAAATCCTGTTCATTTGAGGGAACTTGGACGAAAGTGGCTTTGATCAGTAAGCGGAGTGTGCCTTCCAGCTTTTGTCCATATGCGCGTATGTCAAAAAAGGTAAGGGTATTGGGAATCGCTCTCTTCTTCAGCAATTTGCCACATTATGATTTTAGGAAAGAATAAGTAGTTATATGTCAACAAATCATGTCTTTATGTATGTCCGTACGTTCCTCACAACATCCTATACAGTGCTGACACCAAAATACTCCACATTTTATTCAATACCAATTATTCACAGATATCGCAGTAGGGTTTTCGCCATATCCCGGCGTCTTCTAAAATAACTGTAGTTATTGAAGGAACTGGATGGGAACGAAGGCTAATTCTCACCTCACGATGAATGTGTACAAAGTACGAGCGACTAGTGGCCATACAAGAATAAAAAATACCACGGGGAGAAATCGCAGGAACCGAGCTAATGTAAAGAACGGTCGTCGTCG